TCTGTAGTCTTGTGATACATGTTCTTGTATTACATCCCTTCTCTAGTATAAGGTATGCTCATAGAACAAATTAATAGCACTTGGAGTTAAGACTTCTTGTAAACTCCAAATTGAAAACTATCTTGTAAGCAACGCTTGATAATTGAACATCACTGTATGATAAAAGTGCACAGCACATACAGAGAGGTGTGGCTACATGTTTTGTTTTGGCAGGACAATTGTCCAATCACACTCCCTTCCTCAAAAAGCCCCTCTGCCTCCCCCATTTTTTTGGGGGGGAGGGGGCTTTTTTTTTAGGAAGAAAGAAATTAAAAGGAAAGAAAATATGGATTTAAAGTTCTTTTCTTGGGCATTTCTCTTCATCCTCACAATTTTATCCACCTAGATGTAGGCCTACTGCATGGTGGTTAATAAACCCCCCAAAGAATAGCACCCCCCTTTCCTCACTAGAACCATACTCTGTCACTTCACTTGATGTTAGCTGTATGTGTCATTGTATGCCTATTCACCTTTGACTTTCAATGCACTTTTTTCTGTGATACTTTCTTTTGTTGTACATGGATCTGTTACTTGTATGTCCATATCTTTTACTTGAAGAGGATATGTTAGAATGTCAAGACTGTTTACTTCAATGACTTTGGATGCCTTGAAAACAGGAATCAAGAGTCAATCTCTTTAATTCCATTGGGATATTGATGCATGCATCCTTGTGTCCTATTTAGTTGTGTCTATTGTTATTTTCAAATTGTTGTTGTTTCCTTGTTTTCGCTGTTGACTGTCATACAGCCTTTTCACACACAGCTAAAATTCATCATATCTAGAGATGATTAGAATCACTCAACAGTTTTAAACATGTTTATAGACAAAATTTCCCAGTGTGAACATCGTTTATACGATGTTGGGATAGATACGAAGTCGCGATCCATACGCCCCTAAAAGCAGGCTGCAGATTCGAAGTTCGTATCTAGAGAGCTTGACATTTTGTGTGTGACCTTCAATGCGCAATGGCACTACTGCGCATTTTACGAGCAGTAGTTAATCACGAAACTATTAACGATCGCAACAAAATTTCTGTGTGTGAAAGGCTCGTGATTAGTTTAAACACGTTCGAAACACGTTTATACTAGTCATGTTTATAGAATTTTAGCTGTGTGTGAAAAGGCTGATATTTACCCATTTACCCCTACTCACTTTATGCCACTCTCTGGTTCTTTCTGCTTTCCTTGTTCTTTTCCTCTTCCTTTTCCTCTTCCTTCTCCTCCTTCCTTCTCCTCCTTCCTTCTCCTCCTTCTCCTCTTGTTCCTCCTCCTCCTTCTCCTCCTCCTCCTCCTCCTCCTCCTCCTTCTCCTCCCCCTTTTGCTCCTTCTCCTTCTTCTCCTCTTCCTTCTCTCTTCCTACTCTTCCTTCTCTCTTCTTACTCATACTCCTCCCCTCCTCCTCCTCCCCTCCTCCTCCTTTTTTCTTCTCTTCTTCTTCTTCTTCTTCTTCTTCTTCTTCTTCTTCTTCTTCTTCTTCTTCTTCTTCTTCCTTTTCCAAATTTTCTTCTTCAATCAATGTTGGAATGTTTCTTTCTTTCTAAAAAAAATATCATTCTACCTGACAACATATTACCATTGTTTCTTTATCTCTGTGTCTACCATACCCTTTACATCTTTCCATTTTGAAATTGAAATTATGCCAATTATCTCCATTTTCTACAATTCCTAGGTCATCAGTTTGTTTTATGATTTTGCAAAAATTCTTTGAAATGTTATTTCATAAATGAAATTGTTATTTAATTAAGGGCTGTTTGAGTCTGTTTATCATTGTACCATCTGAAGTTAATGATGTTTCAAGGTTTACCTTGAAGTTCTGGGGGGAGCCATGAGAAAGGTCGTAGCTGAGGGGAATGTGTATATACAGCAGTTTTTTATGTTTTTTCACCTAAAAATATGTTTTTCAAGCTGAATAATATCGGAGATGACATACAGTAGTACATGGAAAATTGGAGCGTAGAGAAATCAGCTCTGGGAAGCTCCCAAAGATGTCTGGTGAACTTTTAAAAAGCTATGATTTGAAGAAAATTAATAAAACACATGACTATTATTAAGAGGTCATCCCACTTTTCAGTACAGCAAATCCTTGGTATAAAGCAAACAATGTATTTTTCACTGGATATGATATTCATACTCGTGCCAAGAATTTTTATTATTATTGGCCTTATCTAATGAAGTGACTTTGAGCAAATATTGCAAAGTGAATAATCAACTTTAGAGCCCAATTATGAGGTGAATTGCAGTGCATGTAAACATCCATGTAGTGGTAAAGTGCTACATTAATTATAAACGTTCAGTCTAGATAGTATAGGGAAGTCTCTATTACACTAATGAATTAAGAATCTCCGTTGCTCCCCCGTTGCCTGGAATCTCAGTAAGGGGTACAACTTTGCTGCCAAGTAACCCATTTCAGCTTCCATGCATCAGCATTGGTGCCTGTTCAGACTTTTAATACAAAGTTTGTATAAAGAAATGTTGTGAAGTCAAACATGTGTTAGTAGCCACCTCTTAATGAAGGCCACCTGTCTATAGTGGTCATTCATTTTGTCTCCCATGAGAGATTAATGTGTGTTGTAGAACCTGTTTAGAAAGGCCACCTGTCTACAGTGGCCACTTTTTCTATTTCCCTTGGGTGACCTTAATAGACAGGTTTGACTGTTCAAAGAATCATCACATACTAGTGAAAGGAGTGTACAGACTAGAAAACAAAATCGTTTAAAGGAACGTTGTATAAAGAAACCCATTTTGAATACGTTCGCTGACATTGCAGCTGTCCAATCATTAGTATGCCTTTGCAATAAGCCCCACCCAGTTAGACGATTTTTGTACAATACGACGTTCAGACTCGAAACGATGCTCAAACAGGTGTTTGGCTGTAAAAAATTGCATTAATAGACTTTAAGACGAGGAAAAAAGTTAACTACTATCATGATTCTTGTATAGCTGTACGATGGATTCTGTTAGTCTGAAGGTGGGTAATTTAGCTTGAGAAGAGGATAAGTAGAGGGAGTCTTTGGAAGAAGGGACCTATGGGTAGTACTAGGGCATGCCAGATTGATAAGATAAGGCAGGGTTCAAAACCAAGACGGGTTTATTTAAATCACACCCCTAATTAATTTGAATCCAGCAGCCCCAGTTTAAAATGTAACATAGGCTGAAAGGCACGAATCCTCAGTGTTTTGTTCCGGACCCTCAGAAAAAAATTAGCAAAGAAGGGGCAAAGTATGGAGCTTCTTTGAATTCTGTCTTCTGGAGGATCTTTTATGAGGATCTTTTTTTTTAAAAGGGGGGGGGGGGGGTCATATGAATGACATTCCCCTTCCCTGTACAAAGAAAGCAAATGCCCTTCCCCTTTTTACTGTCATTAAGCAAGGCTCTATACTTACAGGACCCAGTACCTTTTTAATTGTGGAGGATAGCTAGACCCTACAATTTAACCTTAACATAGGGCTCATGTAATGAGATTTAAACAAAAGCTCAATCCGGACCCTGCCCCCTCCCAGAAGAAAAGGTTTGTCGAGAGCCCTGCCTTAATCCAGGGCTTAACACTAAACAGGTTCCCAGGACAATTGGGCACCCAAAATATAAGATGTGATCTCCAAATTTTCAAAATATTAACATAGGGCATAAAGAGTCTAAAGATATCAATCTGGAACCCGCTGGGCTTAAGGCTGCCGTTTGAAATCCAAGCTGCAGAATCCTGAGAATTAAACACATCGGAAAGGTGTTTTAACTTAAGTTGAAATGGTCTCCAGCAATGTAAATACTGATTCATGTGGTCACAAGAGATAGTCATGATGCTCTGATATGTCCATGTTTTGGTTTAGGGCCAATCGGGTATGAGCTCATCTAATTTGATTTAGAGCATACCATCTGCCAAGCATATCATGAATGATGTGTTTTACTAGGTTTACATCAAGATTTAGACTATTTGAAGCATTTAGTGCATGGGTCATTTGGTGTCATAAGAGAATGCCGTGAGAGAGTTGTCTTCTGCAGAACCTCAGGCAATTATACTGATATACTGATGTGATTGATGAAGTGCAGCCTAATCTTGAGAGAGAAAGAGAGAGAGAGAGAGAGAGAGAGAGAGAGAAGGGGGAGAGAGAGAGAGAGAGAGAGGAGGGGAGAGATAGAGAGAGGTAGAGGAGGGGGTGGAAGAGTGATGAAGGATTGGGAGGGTACAGGGATGGGAGGGGGAGAAGGGAGATAGAGAGAGAGAGAGATGTATATTAGAGGTGTTGTGGTCAAGTGGATACGTCGCCGGACTGTCAATCACAAGGTCTGCGGTTCGAGTCCCGCCGCCGCACTAATGTCCTTTGGTACTTAAGACATTCATTTACATTTGCCACACTCCACTCAGGTGAAGTAAATGGGTACCTGCCAGGTATTTATTTCTTGAAACGCAGCGCGCGTAAAAGCTGCACTGCTAAAGCCAGGATAATTATGCTGCATTATTGTAGAGCGCTGAGAGACTTCTGATAAAGTAATGGGCGCTATGTAAGCAAGGATAATTATTATTATTATTATCCCGAAACAGGCAGATAGAGAGAAAGAGGGAGAGAGAAAAGAGAGATGAGGGATGAAAATAGATAGATAGTCTGATATATAGAGAGAAGGGTTGGAGAGAGGTAAAAGAATAGACTGAGAGAAGAGTGGACAAAGTGAATGAGTAGACAGAAAGAGCAAACAGAGAAAAAGCAAGAAATGATTGATATGGTATTAATGAGATCTAGAGAGACAGAGAGAGAGAGAGAGAGAGAGAGAGAGAGAGGGGGGGGGGGGAGGGGGTGGCAAGGGTAGAAAAAGAAAAATCTAATATTGCAAAGGAGAAGTAATAGACATGTATGTTATTTCTCCTCATTGTGTCTAATGCTCTGAAGTCCTTCTCTACTTTGATCAATATGATTATGACTGACAACCTTCCCTTCTTCTCTTTCTCTCTCCTTCTCTGAATGTTCTTAGATCCGTATAGACCCAGAGCACTGGCAGGCCTTGCTGAACCTCTCCAAGGAGCTCAAAGAACAGGGTCACCTAGACGCAGGATACATCTTCCTCAAGATGCACAGAGACAAGATCTTCCAGTTCACAGCAACCCTCAGACATGTAAGTTGGTGTGGTTTGGTGGTGATGGTTTGTTTTACCTGACTGCTAATAAAGCATGTGTATGCGTGTATGCTTGTATGTTCGCAACCAGAAGACTGATGACTTTAAGTCATCTCCGAGGGACCAGGGGGGTGTTTCACAAAGATTTTAAGTTGAACTTATCTCTAAGTTTGACTTAACAATTATGGAAAGCCGTTGGCATCTATGAAAATATTTTGTAAAATTTATTTGAAAAGGCATAAAATGTTGATTCAAATCATTTATATCATGGGAAATTTCATGTTCTTCATGTGGAATTTATGAAAAGTCAAAAATACTTGAATATATTTTATTTTAATGCTACAAGTGGCTCTCCATAATTTTTAAGTCCAACTTAGAGTTAAGTTCGACTTAGAATCTTTGTGAAACGAAAGGGCACTGGCGCATCAACTTGGTTTCGAACCCAGGACTTCCTGGTTACAAGACCACTGCTCTACCACTGACCCATCACGTATCCTTGTTGGTTGGGAATACAGTGTCTGCAGAGAAGAGCCACAAGTGTGTTAAACCTAGCCCTATTTAAAACTGTGTAAAATGCTGCGAGTTACATAATAAAAGAACACGAGACATAAAACAGGAGAGCTGGCAGGGAGCAATTTGTGTCATGGCATTGTTTTTTATGAAATATTTGCTTGTCAAGAAGAATAGAATTTCATTTAGTTTGATTTAGTTTAATGTGATTTGATTTAATTCAGTTTAATGTAATTTGATAGGAATGAACTGAATTATATTATTCATCTTTCCTCTAAACCTGTCTTAACAATAGGCATCCTACACCAGACATAAGAGCGGAGACGGAGTATATGAGAGATGGAGAGCTGGCAAGGAGCTCATGACGACAACCTTCAACCCAGATCTTTTAGAGGTAAGGAACTATCTCATTACCTCCTTTTGGCACTGCTGTTGAAAAATGGTTCCTCCTTTGATGACATAAGTTTGAATATGTGGGACTGGAATTGCATGACCATGTATAAGGGGGATAGATAGACATTTTACCAAATAGGGACTAAGAAAATATTCCGTTGATACAAGAATGTTGTCTTGAGAGTCTGTGTGTTTCACAAGAGAAGGGTCTACCTACATGTAGATGAGGCAACATGTGTGACCAGCTTGACTGCTATGCCTAGTAAAGAGTAGAAACTTTGCCCCCCCCCCAATAAATCCTAAAAACCATACAAATTCATTTACTTGTATGCAATGGAAGTCTCTTTTTGGTCTTTAAGAGAGAGAGAGAGAGAGAGAGAGGTCGGAAGGAAGCTGAGAGAGGGAGAGAGAGAGGGAGAGAGAGGGGGAGGAAAGGGGGCGAAAAATTTATCACTAAAAAATTTGGAAATTAATGGGGACATAATCTTAAGAACATTCATTAACATTCATTAACTGCTTCCTAAAATGTTTCATCGACTCCCTCTTAAGGTCATATTGTCTGTTCGGAGCCAGAAGGCATTATATGTATATTAACGCCCTTATATGCTTAGTGAAGAGTAAAAACTTTCCCCTCCCCCCACAAAAAAGAACCTAAAAACATACAAATCCATTTATCGTATTTGCCGGCGTAAAGGCCGCAGTATTTTTGGAAGAGAAAATATCAAAAAGTCTGGGTGCAGCCTTTTATGGCGAAAGAGTAAAAAAAAAAAAAAAAAACGAAAGTCAAAACCAGCATGAATTTGCACATATGGGACTACGAATGGTAAAATAACTATACTACTATGGTACGGGACATTTCCACACATCTTACCGACAATTTTATCTTGCATTGTTGACATGAAGACGAAAATAAACGTCCTAACACAACATTTGCCGATAGATCTTGATCTAAGTTCGTGCCAATGCATTGCAAAAGTAAAGGAAGGGACCGTTTAACGGAGCTGCCGCGAACATCCATCCGAAGTCACCATTTTGTTTTCCATTTCATGCAGTTTCGCATTACTCCGTACATTGTGGTAGGGGTATATATCGGACACCGAATCTGCCTGCGATCACTTTTTTAGCTAAACTTCCTGTAAATTATAAGAATATTGATGAATTTGGTATCAGTTTGTAAAAAAAAAATAGTGTTTTCGAGAAAATTATGATTATTTTGTTATGTCAGGTTTTTTTTCCCTTTTTTTTCTTTTTTTTTCCTCTTTGAAATGTCAAAGTTGGGGTGCGGCCTTATTGCCGGCAAATACGGTACATGTATGCAATCAGAGTCTCTTTTTTCTTCTTTAGGAGGGGTAGGAGCTGGGAGCTGGGAGCGGGGAGGGACAAAGCTGAGAGAGAGAAAGAGAGAGAGATAGAGAGAGAGAGAAGGGTGCGATAAGTTTATCGCTGGAAAAATGGAAATTAGTTGGGACATAATCTTAAGAACATTCATCAACTGCTTCCTAAAATGTTGCATCACACCCTCTTAAGGTCATATTGTCTGTTCAGAGCCAAAAGGGCATTATATCCATAATGAGTTAACGCCCTTCTCAGGCAGGCTTTACTACTTCAGCTAGAAGGGATTAGACCACCCAGCGAGCCAGCGAGGTCACTGTGACAGGTGGCTATCTCATTAACTCAGCTCTCATTTAACATAAGAAAAAGAGGATCATGGGGGACCAACAGGCACCAATTGGGGAAGTTTTCTATATAGAGGGAGCAAGTAGCTACAAGTAGGACAGTGCGCCTTTAAAGGTAAAGACCAGTATTGGAAACGCCCCAATTTCAAAAAATGAAATGGAAGCTCTTATTACCAATCATGAGAAAGAATATGTTTTGACTGATACATGATGGTACAAAATTTGCCGGGAAACCGCCTACTAATTGATATATTTGGTAAATTTGTTTATCTATTGGTGTGTGAGAGATAAACGTACGTGTCGCGCATCTGTGCGTAGTCCCATATAAATCTTTCTGTGTACAGTGCTTGTAACTTTACCAAGACTGGGCCAAATTTCTTATCATTTTGATGGTTCCATAACCTTGCACTACACACCAATACTTATATGCTAGATGATCAACCTTTTCTGATCGATTCCACAATGTTTCTTTCACAATGCAATGTCATGATGATAACTGGTCTTTATCTTTAAGCAGACAAAATTTAAAGTGTATACGGAGCATAAAGTGTGTATTTATACAGGGCACCAGTCTAGTAGAAAATAATTTGTGTTCAGCTTTTTGTATAAAAAATCAACCCCGGAAAAAATAAAAAAATCATTCTCTGGGTTAACAAAGAGGATGAAGAAAGAAAATAAAGTATGACATACAAAAATCAATGTGGATGTTTGTTCTGTAACTTCTGTGTATGTGCTTTTTTATGTGAGCTATTTGCATGTGTGTTGGCTTTTCTACTCACAAGTTGCCTTCACATTTCTTGAAAGTGTATTTAAAGGTATTACAAAGTTTTGGTAAATTTTGAAAATTGGCTGGATAGTGATTCTTTTACAATTTTGATATATTTGGATGCCCCTATGGATGTATTATATATATTACCGGTGCTCCCAGTAAATTTTGATAAATTTCAAATAGCCCCTACGGCCATACGATGGTAACTGCGACCATGAAAATCTCAGAATATGCAGTTGTGATATATATATTCCAAACGGTAATGGCAAATCGGTCGATTTTAGTCAAATAACATTGTTTTATAGCTAAATTAATATCTTGACCTTGAGAGGGTGCTATACAACATAAAGAGTTTATTATTTACAATTTCATAACTTTAGACTTGACTTCAGCCACGACAACGATCACTGAATGTTGTAGGATCGCATATGCTTCCAATATGTTCATTTGAACCAAATTCATGACCCCATACCAAACTTTGTATTACCTTTAAACTTGCAATATCTCTTTAAAGAAGTAGAATTGGAAGCTGATACTTTGGATATATGCTTCCACCAATCATCTAGACCAAGAACTAGATAGTTTATTCCTCAGCACTATACATCCTGACTTATGGATCCTGCTGAGTATCGTCGTAGAAGTGAAGTTTAGTGATGATCCCTTATTTGCTCCAGCAACAAGTGCTCCAGGCTCTTATTTTTTTGTTCTAAATTCTAGGATTACGATTGGTTTGCAAAAGGGTTTAGGTTAGGGTTAGGATTAGGTATAGTATTGGGTCCAAGGTTGAAGTAAGGAATTAGGTTAATGTAGGAAATTACAGCAGACCGATTGTCTGTCACCAGAGAATGTGTCATACAACCGGTATAGAAGCGTGGACTCACTATGATAAAGAGCAATTTTTTAATGTACCTTTAAAAGACTTGACCACATTGTAATTGATATTTCAGACTATATTGCTGTCAGATGAGGGTTGTTTAATTGCTTGTTGTTCATTACAGCTCATGCATAAAAACAATTCTCACGCCTCCTTTTTTCTCTCTTCCTTTTTTTCGTTGATGCCAAGTTTCCTGTTTCATTACATGTGGTCGGATCCATCGGAATCTCGTTTAGACCACAAAGTCATGCTTACAATTTGAAAACTTCCTTATATGTGGTCCTCCCACTTTTTAATCATGAGCTAGATTTTGCTTTGTTTGCACTGATTTTATAGATCGTGTTTATGCTCAACTTTTTCTGGCCAGAATCAGGCATCTGTTACGCGTTTAGTTTAAAACACGGTTGCGTCCTTTCTCACTTTTGATCGCCGATTGTAAACTCACAAAAAGGTGCGTTTACAATTTGTAAACGCGTTTAAATGGGGTCAACGCACTGACCTCCAGTGGGTCTACATAGCATGCACAGTGCAGGTTTGCGAATCCAGCTGTAAGGCCAATTAAGGCCACCCAGTGAGAATTGCCTGGAGGAGCCAGAGAAGCGAGCATAAACAGTACACCGTGGAACTGCGATTACGATGAGCGTTTACGATCTGTGTTTCAAATTGCTCATTCTGCCTTCAAAATTGAGCTTAAACGCACCCTTAGATAGAAGTGTGCTCAGGAAAAGGAGATTGATAGTGAGAAAGAGAGAAAGAGAGAGAGAGAGAGAGAGAGAGAGAGAGACATAATGAAGAGAGTGAAATATTGGTAGACAAGTAAAGAGAAGAAAGAGAGAGGCAGAGGGAGATGAGGGAGAATGTAAGAGGAAAAGAAACAGAAAGGCAAAGAGATAGAGAGAAAGAAAGAAATGTAAATATGCAGAAAGGTTGGGGAGAATTCAGAATTACAAAAAAATTGTCTCTTAGTGTGTAAATAAAGATGTTGAAATATGACCAGACTATCATTTAATAATGTCATTTTGAATAATTTGTAGGCGATATTATAAACTGTAGAATCCGTATGGTAATATGATGGATTCGTCGGTTCATAATAATGCCAATGAATTCTTTATATTAGTATAAGACCTTAGGATTAAAAAATTGATTTAACTCCAACTCTATTTCTCAATGTTGGTTAGAATATGAACGATACCTTATACAGTCAAAAAAAAAGTTAACACCTAGAAAATTGCTGATTATTTAAAAAATCATCTGTGAACAGTAAATTATTATACATGTTATGAAAGAGTGTTTAATCCCAAATCGTTTGGTATCATTTTTGTGTGGTATGTGACTGTGTTCACGCGTGGATGAACAGGAGGCATTGTTTGCGAGAGTGCAAAAATCGACTTGCGCCAATGTTGCTTATGTGATGTTTTGATTAAAAAATTGGGATTTGGGTATTAATTCGGTCTTTGCAGATCCAAATAACATCCCTAACAAAATTAATCATGCCACACATATCGAATATCGAATATCAAATATCAACAAACATTTGTGCGCGTTTTTTTGTTGGTGTGTGACTTTGCTTCTGCAAAAAACCTATGCAAAGCATTTCATTTGATACATTCAATTCATTCTCTAACTCCGCTAATCCCAACATAATACATGCTGTAGGCATCACTTTGGCGCGAGTCGATTTTTGCACTCTCACAAACAATGCCTCCTGTTCGTCCAAGCGTAAACACATACCACACAAAAATAATACCAAATGATTTGGGATAAACCACTCTTTTATAAGATGTATAATAATTTACTGTTCATAGATGATTTTTAAAATAATAAGCAATTTTCTAGGTGTAAACTTTTTTTTTACTCACACGGTATATCCAGCTTCTACATGTAAATGTTTTAGAATTTCACTTTTTAAATCTTTGTGAAAATATGCAATTATGCATGTTACAATCAACATCATTTTTGTTCTTAGTTACAAGGTATATCATACATCTCATCTAATATGACATAATTTAATCTAATTTTTAAACTAAATGATAATGAATCATAGGCAGCCAGCAATACAAAGTGTATGAATTTTTAATGACAGAAAAATTAACACAAACATTGATATATCATGTTCATAAAACCACCAAGGTAAACAAAATTTGAAATAAAGAGAACAGTTTAATTTACAGGTATGTACATACATGTCAATGTCCATCATTGATGTGATAACTACAAAAACAAATTAAGACATCCAAATAAATACATCAAAGAGAGACAAAAATAGATCTTTCCTGAGATAAACAGATCTGATTTTCTAAGGTCACAAACGTTTTATGAATGAGAATACTCAGCAAATATTGAAGGACAGGGGTGGCACTAAATTATCAAAAAATGCTGATGTAACTATGATATCTCCCACAAGCCACCCCCCCCCCCACGTTTCTCAGGGAGGTGAGGTAGAGGCATACTATTAAACACCCACCGCCCCCCCCCCACCACCACCAAAAATAAAATTTGATTGTCAGGAATTTATAAGACTTAATTTTTTTCTTTTCTTTTTCTACTTGTCAACACTTTTTTAAGCACCTGCTCCCCAGCCCCCTACATTATTAGAAAATCCTTGATTCAGGTCTGTACTGAGTAGGCGCCTCTTCATCATCTCGAGATTGCCAAATAGCCCGCTATTTCTGATTTGGGAAATTATCCCGAAGTAACAAATCGCGTCTTCACTATCTAGAGATTCGACCTCGAAACTTGAAACTCGACCTTGAGAAATTAGCTCGAGATATTTTGCCCAGCGTTAGCGCGTATTGCAAATCTTCGGTCTAGTGAAGACAGTGAAGTCTAGAGACAAATAGCTGGATATTTTGCCAAATAGTTGGATATTTTGCAAACTATCCCAAGATATCTTGGGATGACAATCCTGACCAAATATCCTTCTAATTGCTACTTCGGTCTGATGAAGACGCAAATTAGCTGGATAGTTTGCGATCGGGATAGTTAAAATAGCTGGATATTTGGCAATCTCGAGATAGTGAAGACAGGCCTAATCAGGAAAGCATAAAAACGAGGAGACGATACATTTGTCAAAACATTGAATTTTGTTTGTTTGTTTGAAAGTGAAATCCTTGGGCTTGTTTATCCGATAGCAGAGTGGATTTATTGGGATTATATTTTTCAGATACATCCTACACTTTCTTGAAATGCTACGTGTATGGGAAAGCAGTGAATCAATCCCCTTTCAACTTACAGCAACATAAATAAAATTACTTCCTTCTTGAAAAGCAACATAAATTACAGAATGATGACAGCACAATATCCTTATTTTTCTATCTCAAGGTTATTAGAGTAACAGTGATTTGACTTCAGTTCTTCTTCTTCTTCCTTTTGAGTACAGACCTCTTTACAGAGTATTATCGTACTATACTGGGGTGTGTGCAGGTGGACCACTACACCAGGGTTTCCCCCTACTCGTATACAAATAGTGCAGTGGGTTCTTAACGTGCAAAGGTAGTCACACTCTTTTTCTGCACGGGGCCTCCATTTAACGTCCTATTCAAGGGACGGAGTGTTTTTCACTTGACATAATCTGTATCTATGAACAAGGGAAGGGGCACGTTAACACACAACATTTCCTGCGACAATTACTCTGAGATACACTTTAACAAATATGATGATAATGATAATAATTTTGTTTACCCAGGGTAGCCTCATCTGCATCAATGCTGTTCTCCCTGAGGGCCCTGCAATTATTATTTACCCAGCAGTTGCCAGGTACCCATTTACACCTGGATGGAGAGTGGCAAATGTGGGTTAACGTTTTGCCAAAAATCGTTAGCCCCAGGCTGAGATTCGAATCCTCCACCCTAAGACCCCGTTCTCACTCACTTTGAAAGTGGTCTTAGTTAGACCGCTCCAGAGGAACGGGTCTTGAGGAACGGTTTGCGAGCGTACACACTCCGAGCAGTTTTTAATGGCTCAAACCGCTCCACGAGTCAAAGTGGTCTTGTTGCTATGGCAGCTCAGGTCAGCAGATCAATTTTTTCGCGCGCGGAATACAAACCATATGTACCGTACTATATGTTTCGCACCGAAGGTCACTAGCTCACTTTCGTTCAAAGTACGCTTTCCGTTCACATTGCACGTTAGAGCGCTCCAAACCGCTCTTAATAAGACCCGCTCCTCAAGACCACCTCGGAAGGTGGTCTTCTGGAGCCGTCCAGAAGTCCACTTCCTGGACCACTTTGACCGTTCTCACTCACCTAAGAACCTCTCCTGAGTAACGGGTCTTAGTTAGAGCGCTCCAGAGCGCTCCAACGAAGTGAGTGAGAACGGGGTCTAAGATTGAGAGTTAAGTGAATGAACCACTATCACTATACCACATCACCTTCACCTATAGAACCAGGGTTAGGGTTGAAATTAAGTTTAGGCTAGGGCTAGATAGGGTGAGAGTTTGGATTAGGTATACCGGTATACGGCTTGGTCCATGTTTGCAGGTAGGAATTTGGTGTGTGTGGCAAAAGGACATTAAAGCAACTTCTGCAGGAGCATGTGTAGTAGGTACCACATAGAATAAATTGACTATTAGCTTCGTTGATACCTTGAATGATATATGTAGGACACTTATTTGCTTACTTAATCGCTCTAAGAATAATGATAATAAAACAGTGCTTATAAAGCGCTTTCCACCTAAGTCTCTAAGCGTTATGGCTCTGTGTTTGTTTGTTCGAACATATTTTCAATCTTCAATTCTTGAAAAATCGTAACGATAACATTTGCATTTTATCTGTCCAGATGGTCTTTTTCTAGATTTATTATATGGAATAGGGTGAAAAGGTAAAGATGATAAAAACATTGTTGACTTGTCCCCCAGTAGTGTTGCAGATCCTTTTCATTTCATCAATAGGCCTGTCTTCACTATCTCGAGATTGCCAAATATCCAGCTATTTGAACTATCCCGATCACAAACTATCCAGCTAATTTGCATCTTCATCAGACTGATGTAGCAATTAGTGGGATATTTGGTCGGGATTGTCATCCCAAGATATCTTGGGATAGTTTGCAAAATATCCCACTATTTGGCAAAATATCCAGCTATTTGTCCCGTGCGTCTTCACTAGACCGAAGATTCGCAATACGCGCTAACGCTGAGCAAAATATCTCAAGCTAATTTCTCAAGGTCGAGTTTCAAGTTTCGAGTTCAAATCTCGAGCTGATGAAGATGCAATTTGTAACTTCAGGATTATTTCCCAAATCAGAAATAGCGGGCTATTTGGCAATCTCGAGATGATGAAGATGCGCCTTCTATGAATTAAAAAAAGAGAGAAAAAATGTTTTATGATGGTTGTTCAAATTGATGAATTATGGGAGTGTACTAGAAAACGGAGCAAAGAGCGTAAGAGATTTATAGACCAAAGTGGCTTATTTGTTGGTACATGAATGTTGGGGATGAGATCCACAAGACATAGTTTTGGATCTCGTTCAGAGATTAGGAAGTTACATCTTCCTGATCAAGAAAAAATATCTGTAGCTTTCAGATACTGGTTCAGAACTTTGTAACTGATTAGTGGAAATCTGCTTTTGATACAGGTTACATAGAACTCCTCTGAAGCTCTCTCACAATCTGTTTAGACTAGAGCATATTTATATCAAACTTGTTTAACAAAACGTAAAAGAATCGTTGTATGGGGAAAGGGTATTATACACATTAGATAACAACATTATATAATAAAACATTGTATTAAACAAAATTATATTTGATGAGGACACTTGACATGACAGCTGACCAATCATCAGTGCGCGCTCTTAAGCCCCTCCCGGTTATATGGTTTCTGTACGATATAATCTTCAGATGTGAACAGGACCCTGATTCTTTATCAAGCTCTCACTCAAAACAATGCTCAAAATGTTTGGTTATAAGACCTTTAGACCAGAAAAAATGAATTACTAATCATATAGTAGATGTGATTTTTGTGTAATATAGCCAGTATCCTTGCAGCGAATTTTTGTCACTAGTGTGAAAGGGATTTGTGTCACTAGTGTGAAAGGATGGTTTAATCTTCTTTCACATATCCAGTGCCCCTAATTAATTATACTGAACTTCTTTAGGGATTTACGCCCGACAGTAGTTGGTATATTTTCTAATATTAGGTTATTTGTCCCAATCAGAAATTTTACATTATCACTTTCCTGATCGATGTGATATGGACTAGGCTACAGTATAAGATAATGATTTGCCAGCCTAACCAGTTTTTAGAATCATTCTCAACTTCCTGTGCAGAGTTCACAGTAAAGTGGAAGTTTTCTATCAAAATTTCAAAAAAGGGGAAATGTACGTGGCAGATAAATCTTGGGCAATCTCACTCTATTGTCAGTTTGGCTGACTTCCAAGGCTTTATAAATACTTCTATTTATGTCTGCCAGTGTTAGCAAAAATTTTAATCAGTTGACTACTGCATTAACTCATCCCCATGGGCGTAATACAGGGATTACCTAGTTCCTGTAAGCAAAGGATTAAAGAAGCACAATAATTACTGCACAATATTTGTTGCCATTGAAACCAATCCATGATGCAGTGATCGTGTACAGTCAGGCAGACATGGAAATGAAAACATGAGATTGAGGTGATGTGATTCTATTTACTGTAAGAAAAAACTGCATGGCAGCCACATTTTTTGCACTTGAACATGAAGTGAGGCAATAAACTTAGTCTCCTCGTGACCTTCTCATTCTATAGATTTGATCTTGAATGCAATGAGTTACGCAAAGTTTTCATATCATCCAGCACATTAGACTGTTCTCATTGAATGTTCTGCAAATTTACCATGACATCAATCCTCTCTAACCAACCATCCAGAAAATGTTGTCATTTTTGCCAATCCTCCGTAAACTTCGTTGTTGCTATGAAGCTGTAGCCACACCCGATCACCTCGCCTAAGATGCAGCAGCAGACTGTTACTGATTCCATCATAATAATCGTATCCCGCGTCCTCATAAATTGCAGTCACCATATCTCCATTTTTCATCAATTTAATGTAGAGGTTGCGTGAGTTCGACCATTTGTTCGCATGCATGACAAAGTAGTAGGTTCCATTGATATGACAAGTGAAAACGCTCCTTTCTGGATCAAAATCATCGCCGATATTCACAAATTCATGGTTGAACTCCAAGATGCGGTCGTCGTGGGTCGACGCGGTGACAACGTTCGTGCTGCCGAAGGAGAAAGCGGACCACCGCCCCAGTGCATGGGAATTACGGTTGCCCTGGCCAGGCTCCCCCTTAGGGCCCCTCGTGCCAGGTTGCCCACGTGGACCCCTGGGCCCCAGTGCCTGTGAGTTGACCGCACCATTAGGCTTGCCAGGGGCCCCTGGTATACCGGGGTCTCCTGCTTGCCCTCTCTTTCCGGGTAGTCCTATTGGTCCCTGGTCCCCTTTGCTTCCGTGGCTCCCAGTCAAGCCCGTTGGTCCTGCATCTCCCTTCGGCCCCTGGACTCCTGAAGGGCCGTTGTTGCCATTGTTCCCATGGTTACCTGGAGAAATAGAGTATTTGAAATGATTGTACAGTCAACCATTAACATATATAGATTTACTAACTTCAGTACCAAATTTGTGATTCTGAATAATCTAGTTTATGGTCCTCTTTCTTACATTGTTCTACTTTTTTCATATTTGAAGGGTGTATCCCCCCCCCCCCCCCCCCCACTCAAGAAAAATTAAAAATTAAAAATGTTGAAAGCAGTTCCTGTACATCTACAGTTTATGGCATGGGGAATTATGTGAAAATTGTTTCTTCTTTTAATAAAAAAAGATGAGGTGATATTTTCAATCCATATAATATGCCCAGCATTTGAAAATTTCATTTTAGAAATCTCTTCATGTACCTGATATAAAAAACAAAATTCAGACAGCTGCAACAACAGTTTCAAAATCCCATCAAGATTCATGATGTTTACTTCATTGTTTTTCTAATTCAAGAGAGGACTGAGAACATTAGATTTGAACCGATCCAGGTCCTCCTCTTTTGGGCTTTAAGAATAATGAAGAACTATAAAGCATTATCAGACATGTCTGCAGGCATTATCAAAATAGGAGCATGTTCCTTCCGCAGGCAGGGCGTCCAATGCTACCTGAAAACATCAGCCAGTGATGACAAGTGAATCATCTCTGGAGGGGTGTCCTTAGAGCTCTCCTCCTGGCATCGCCCATCCCCGGAGGTTCAAAATAAAAAGTTTCCTATTTCCCTCCTCTTCCTCATCCTACTCGAGCCCCCTTCTCTTTCTTCTCAAGTGCATAATTTTTTTAGAAATTTACTTATCTTTCACTGGCATTATTTACACTGTATCTCAGAATGCTGAGAATTGAATACTTCATTATATTCTCATCCTATAGCTTTTACCACTTCTTTCTTTCATCAAAGTCAGTATTCTCTGATCTGTGAAGTCTCCTCTTGTTTCTCTTCCTTTCCATCCTCTTTTTTTCTTTACATCCTCTCCTCCTCCCTTCATTCTTTCCCCTCCTGCCCCTCCTCCTTCTCCTACTTCTCTCCAGCTCCCATCCTCTCCCTTCATCATCATCCCTGATCCCTACTTCTCCTCTCCCCTCCTCATCCTTCTATCCTTATTCCTCCACTCCTCCTTCACTTCCTCCCCCCTTTCCTCTCCATCCCCTCCCCTCCTCCTCTCCCTCTTGTGTTTATCACCCATGGAAAAGTCTTTAAATCCTCCCCATCCTCCTCCACTCACTATCTTCACCACCCTCTCAAAATTCCTCAGCTTCATTATCCCAAGTACTGATCATGAACTAGATGACAAATATTGTTTCAACCTTTTCACACCTCTATAGGTGCATTTATACTGTCAAATACCTCATTTCCTAAAATCGCGATGTTTCACGCACCCGTTTAGACTTGTGCTGAAACATCACCGACTGAAAAGATCAGCGATGTTTTGGCGTGTTTCAGTTGGTAATGCCCATGCGCGGCACTCCGATGCAAAAACCTCCTTCGATCAGTTGTTTTATGCTGTGCATGCTGCTGCATTCCAGTGAACTTTTTGTTTCTTTCGGTATATCATCTGTTTCCTACCATTCCTTCTGCGATTCCTTGTTTTTCCATCTTCTATCTTCTCTTCTATCTTTCCATTATCTATTCTTTATCATTTTTTCTTTCTGTCTTTCCATATGTTATTCTCTGTTTTTCATTCTTTTACCTTCTTTTATGTTATTCTTTGTTTTTCCTTCTTTTACGTTCTTTTATGCTATTCTCTGTTTTTATTATTCTTTGTTTTTTTCTTTCTATCACCTTCTCTTATGTTATTCTTTGTTTTTATCATTCTATCACTTTCTCTTTCTGTCTTTCCTTATGTTATTCCGTATGTTGTTCTTTGTTTCTTCCTTCTACCCCTTTCTCTTTCTGTCTTTCCTTATGTTATTCCTTATGTTATTTTTTGTTTCTTCCTTCTATCACCTTCTCTTATGTTATTCTTTGTTTACATCGTTCTATCATTTTCTTCAAGGACGGCAGCTAGCTCCGCTCCTAAAGTCAAGTGACCTAACATCGCGATGTTACAACTGCGAGCGTTCATACTTGCCAAACACGCCAAAACACGCCAAAACACGCCAAAAGATCACACTTCGTTTTGGAATGTTTCGGGCTTGGCATGTCTGCCGGTAAAGCGTAGTTGCCCTTGGTAACATCGCGGTCAGGCTCTGGTTAGGCATTTTTGGGTGTTTTTTTAGAACACAGTGTAAATGCCCCTAAAGTAGATGACTACGGCCAAACAAAAGAAGGTCGAGTCTGGAGTGTTTTTTCAATGACTTAATTACCCAATTTTTCTCTAATTGACCACTTCCATTGTATAAGGATTATACAAAAAACAGAATATTCCTTTGTTCATACCAAATTTATTAGTTTACATGGACCTGTTGGTTAACCATGGGGGTAGAAATAGTCCCCCTCCGTGTGGAGAAACCTCATCACAGCACCCCTTCATACAATCCCATAATTTAGCTACAGAATGAATTGTGTATGGTTTTATTTGACTGATATCATTGACATGTCATTCAACCCTGCTTCAAACCACTATCAAAGGAACCTGTATTCAAATATATGTCAGCTTCCTGTACTTGGAGTGTAAGTCCATCATGAGATCAAATTTGTTTTTATTATAGCAGGAAATAAGAGAAACAAATCAGTGAAAGCTTGAGGAAAGTCAAATGAAGAATAAGAACATTATGAAGTTTTATGATTGAACTTGATCAATTGCATATTGACAACTCTATGACATACCGTTTGAGCACCTCTCTGTTTGCCCTGTATGAACAAATTCTTAAAGTTTCATTTCCTCTATACAAATTATTGATTTATTCATGTATTTGCACTGTAAATAATCGTAACACATATTCCTACAAACTGCTATATGAAATAGATTTATTCTTTTATCAGCAACTAGTGTATTAAAGTTATGAAATTCCCAGTAAAAAGCAAATAGGAGAGCTGTTCAAAAGATCTGTCATGGGTCGCCAATTTGCATTTGACCAATTGCAACTTGAACAAATCAGAACTTTCTTACTTTTATTTGAATTTTCCTCATCTGTTTACTCCTGGTTTACTGCTCTGTTTCTCTCTGCTTGTCTTAACTCCCCCACCCTAAATATCAGAACTTCCATCTAAAATGCAGATCCAGAACAAGTCCAAATTCTTACCTGGTAATCCAGCTGGTCCTTGCACTCCTGGGTAACCAGGGTTCCCCTGTTGTCCCGGTAGCCCCCTCTCACAGCACTCCCTGCATGTGCCCCTCTCATCATGCCCGGGAAGGGGGCGCTTTGTAGGACCTAGACCCTCCCCGTGGGTTAGTCCAAGTATTACCAGACCCAGGGAGAGGAGGAGAGACTGGAGGGAGAAGCATCCAAGTTCCATTATAGCTGAAAGATATGAAACATAAAATGATAATTATGTAATATAGGGCGTACATGGAAATTACTTACAAGGAAATAAGGCATAGTTCCATGCACATTAGAAGGCTCTGTCAATATTTAATGCAGATGTGAATGAATGCATTTAAGAAATGGATGAAAGGTGAAACTTTCTTTGACTGTCCAGACCATGTACCATGTTGTCTTGCTGTAACGTTGTTCCATGTGTAGACCTATTATACATATCCATTTTGGCATTGTCCAAGGTATATGTATATCCAGTTTCCAGCAAGTCTTTGTAATTAGCTGGCTTAAACTTTGCAACAGTTTATAATGATCACATAATAATTAAGCACGGTTTTAAGAAGTTTTTCTTTAAAGGTACTACGTCCCATTTGCAGCCAACATCAAATTCTGTAGAGCTTTGGAGGAATCATGAATATGTTGCGTATGTCCTATCTGTGAAATTTATTACTCAAATTATGCAAGGAAACATGTTTACTTTCTAGACTTCACTGTCAGACACTATATTGAATGACTGACTGACTACTCTTTTTTCTTTAGTAATAACCTACGTTAAATGAGCTGTAAAGGTACATGAGCATTTGTCTACATCAATAAGCCTCCTGTTGTAATGGCCAAAATTAAACTGATTAAATCTTTGTGCTGCACTATTCGATACAAGGGTCTGATAATCAGACTATTACTGAAATGATTGCAATCACTAAAGTCGATCCGACAACTAAGGCTTGTTATTTTCCTGCTAAAAGACCTTTTTCAAGCCTTTTCGTTTTGAGGGAAGTTCTAAATTAGTATTATCTTTCAAATGCCTTTTCAATTTTTTGCCTGAAAATGGGACATACCGGTAGTACCTTTAAAGCGAGCACATGTTCTCAAAATTGCTCTTAGTATTCTTCTTCTCCTTGTTGTGATCAATCAGCTAGGACATGCAGCTTGCTTGTCCTTGAGAGGTGTTGTCTAATATCCATGTCTTCATGAACCATTTCTGAACTTCCTCTCCCAATAAAGTGTTCTCTGACTCATCTCGTCCGTCCGTCCAAGGTGTAGCTCCCATCATTTCAATCATCGCCCTTGCCATTACCCCCCTCCCCCCCCCCCCCCTTTGAGAAGGGAGTGGGATGGGGGCTGAATAATTGTCCAAAAATACTGTTTTTTTTCCTCTTAAGAATACTTTTTTTTGTTGATGAAGGTTGGCATCTCTGAGTTTACTACATCTCGTCTGACCAAGGCGTTATATAGCTCGCTAGGTCAGCCAGGAATTTAAAAAATATGTCAGAGAGCCCAAGTTTGGTATCGTCTGAACATCTTATGAATGGGAACTTTTGCCCCGACTGATAACAACTGTCCTATTAGTATGTCAAAATGTTGACATCGTTGATCAAAAATAGGAATCTGATAAGCGCCAGGGGCGTGCTTGTTAGGGCCAGATTTATGACTGACTTGATAAACTTTCAACTTAGTGCTTGTTTCTGTGACTTCTTGCTGCATTTTTATCAGATGTAAACTTGTAAGAAGTTGTCAGCGGATGATGATGTGAAGGGCATGACCTAAATTCCTTCAAAACGTGACATGTAACCGAATTTTGGCCAATTAGGGGAGTTTTTGTAGATAAAAAGTGCTTTCCATCTACAACTTACATTTCTTCTCCTTGCTCCTGCTTTTGCTGGTCTTCTCATAAATTTGTTTCTTTAGTTCTTGTTATTTCTTTTTTTTCCCTATCTCATTTTCATTCTCTCTCTTTCTCTCTCTCTCTCTCTCTCTCTCTCTCACACACACACACACACACACACAAACACACACACACTCTGTCTCTGTATCTGTCTCTCACTGTTTGTGTTTTGATATGTCTCTCTTACAGCCTTTTCACACACAGCTAAAATTCTATAAACATGATTAGTATAAACGTGTTTAAACTAATCACCTGAACATACGACATCATTCACACACAGAAATTTTGGTGCGATCGTTAATCTTTTGTGATTAACTACTGCTCGTAAAATGCGCAGTAGTGCCATTGTGCATTGAAGGTCATGTCATATCAATCAAAGCGCACGCTCCATCCAGTTTAAACACGTCTGAAACACGTTTAAACACGAATAACCTTTCACACACAAAATGTCAAGCTCTCTAGATACGAACTTCGTTTCTGCAGCCTGCTTTTAGGGGCGTATGAATCGCGACTTCGTATCTATCCCAACATCGTATAAACGATGTTCACACAGGGAAAATGTTCCTTAAACATGTTTAAAACTGTTGAGTTAAACACGTTTATAGTTACTAATCATCTCTAGATACGATGAATTTTAGCTGTGTGTGAAAAGGCTGTTACTTTACTGTCTGTTTGCCTATTTTGCTTCATGTCTTCATGTCTTCAATCTTTATTCCTTTCACTGTATCTCTTCCCCAGTCTGTGTTTCTGTGTATGTTTCTTTCTTTCTTTCTCTCTCTTTCTCTTCTTGGCCTTCATACATCCCCATACTGCCTTAGTGCCCCATTTTTCATTACAAAGTCTGACTGCCAATATGCTTCTCGAGATAGCTTGACTGAATTAGTTGAATCGAGGTTATCCTAGTTTTTTATTACAACATTTCAATATTTGTATAAAAATGATTTTATCTAATTTCATTAAGGTAGAAAATTATATATCAAAATGTTTTGCTCCCAAATATAAACACCTCAAAACACTGTTTTCTATCTGCAACTCCTGCTATTACTACTACTACTACTACTTCTACTTCTACAACAACGACTACTCCTACTACTACTCTTGCTGTTACTACTACTACTACTACTACTACTACTACTACCACTACCACTACTACTACTACTACTACTACTACTACTACTATACTACTACTACTACTACTACTACTACTACTACTACTACTACTACTAATACTACTACTACTACTACTACGACTAATACTACTATTACTTCTGCTTTCTTCTTCTTCTTCTCCTTCTTCTTCTTCTCCTGCTTCTTTTTCTTCTTTTTCTTCTTCTTCTTCTCCTTCTTCTTCTTACTCTTCTTCTTCTTCTTCTTCTTCTTCTTCTTCTTCTTCTTCTTCTTCTTCTCACTCTTCTATCCTTCTATCCTATCTTCTAGTATGTCACTATAATGGTATATCTATGATTTAAATTTGTTCTGCATTTCTTATTGTATTTGTTGGTTTTTTCTTCTTCTTGTACTGTTCCCCCCCCCCCAAAAAAAAAAACCCTCATGATTCTCATGAAGTGTGTTCACTCTCACAATCTCAGGTTTTTAACCAAAACATACTGGGATCTCATTTTGAAGATGGTAATTTGCTTCCACGGTGCAGTTAAAGGGGAAGTCCACCCTGATATTTAGTAAGTTTTTATACAAATCTATTAAAAAAATGAAACAGGTCAGTGAAATTTTGAGCATAAACTGATTAAAAATAAGACAGTAATACATTTTTGAAGGTGCGATCAATCAAACACATATTGGCAACTCTTTCAAAACTGTTCACTGACCTGTTTTTTTCTTCATTTTCCTGCCTTTATTAAAACCAACTTTATATCAGGGTGAACTTCCCCTTTAAGTGTCAGTTCTGAAAACTACTCCAATTCGCAAGGTAAGACACAAAGATGTTTCTGTCTGTGGACATCATATGGAAATCAAATTATGTTTCTGAGGATCCTTGCAACATAATTGCAAGGTTGATCTGGTGCAATCTAAGTAGGTATGTCCTCATCAGCTCGAGATTGCCAAATAGCCCGCTATTTCTGATTTGGGAAATAAGCCAGAAGTTACAAACCCCGTCTTTTCACCAGCTCAAGACTTAAAGGTAATACAAAGTTTTGGTATGGGGTCATGAATTTGGTTCAAATGAACATTTTTGAAGCATATGTGATCCTACAATATTCAGTGATCATTGTCTCGGTTGAAATCAAGTCTAAAGTGATGAAATTGTAAATAATGAACTCCTTATGTTGTATAGCTCCCTCTCAAGGTCAAGATATTAATTTAACTATAAACCATTTCTTTACTATAATCGACCGATTGGCTATTTACGTTTGGAATTTATATATCACAACTACATATTCTGAGATTTTCATGGTCGCAGCTACCATTGTATGGCCGTAGGCGCTATTTGAAATTTATCAAAATTTACCGGGAGAACCGGTAAATTTTGATATTAAATTTTTCTTGAAAACAGAAGTGTTTTAGGGGCTAAATTTTCTAGTGCTTATAATACATCCACAGGGGCATCAAAATACATAAAAATTGTAAAGAATCACTATCCAGCCAATTTTTAAAATTTCCCAAAACTTTGTATTACCTTTAAAATTCAAACTCGAGCTCAAGAAATAAGCTCAAGATATTTTGCTCTGCGGTCGCGCATAGTGTGAGTCTTCGGGCTGGTGAAGACGCAACGGATAAATAGCGGGATATTTTGCCAAATAGTGGGATATTTTGCAAACTAGCCCAAGATATCTTGGGATGATTATTTTGACCAAATATCCAGCTAATTGCAACTGCAGGCTGATGAAGATGCAAATCGGCTGGATAATTTGTGATCTGGATATTTAAAATAGCGGGTTATTTGGCAATCTCGAGCTGATGAGGACAGGCGAACTAAATGTATCTCAAATAAATGTGATATCAGATTTATCATTTCACATTTGTAGGGGATGGAAAATTGGTCCAAAATGTTATGGCCTGCAAGATTACCTAGAAAGCCAACACAAGGAATATTATCAACTCACAAAAAAAAATAATTTAGGGAGGATTACAGGATATTTTTTCAATGTTTTTTAGCCAAGCAAAGTAAGAAAACATGGACAAACAAAAGAGGGAAATCTTTAAGTCAGTATTAAAACACTCAACAATAATTCTTTTTATTTTAACTTTCATTTTTCCCCAGCCCCCCTTTCCCAAAAAGAAATAACCAATATTTTCTTTAAAGGTACTATGTCCCTTTTGCAGCCAACCTCAAATGCTGTAGAACTTTGCAGGAATTATGAATATGTCATGTATGTCCTATCTGTGAAATTTAAACGTTAGCAGTGTCCTCATATTCAAATTATGCAAGGAAACCCGTTTACTTGCTAGACTTCACTGTCAGACACTATTGAGTGACTGACTGGCTTTTTTTCTTCTTTGGTAATAACATACATGAAAAGAGTTGTAAAGGGTACATGGGCATTTGTCTACATCAATAACCCACTTCTTGTGATGGCCAAGATTAAACTGATTGAATCTTTGCGCAGCATAAAACATATGACCATTCGGTACAATTGTCTGAAAATCAAGACTATTACTTTTGGGCTCTATAGCCCTAAAGTCGATTTGACAACTAATAGTCGTTATTTTCCCACTTGAAGACATTTTCAAGCCCCACCTATTTTAGGGAAGTTCTAAATTAGTATTATCTTTCAAATGCAGTTGGAATTTAACTTTTTCATTTTTTTGGCCTGCAAATGGGACATAGTACCTTTAAAGTGATACCTTTGTAGATTGTACCAATGTCTAACAAGCTTATTATGTAGAGGCTAATAAACAAAAGTAATTCAATACAAACTATACAAAATCTTGATGCAAGTTTTTTAATCTAAGTAATAGCTAAATTTAAAGAGAAACATCCATATATTGATATAAAATAATTCCAACTTACCCCTGAATGTAATACAATATGCCAAGAGTGATTAGAAGATGAACAGGGTAAACCCAATTAGATCCGATTCACACGTCAAACAAAATTCAAATCCAGAAGTCTCTGCAAAGACTTAGCTTCCATTGGTTGTGCTTGCACTGGAGTTCCCTTGGCTTATGAACCCATGACAAGTCTTGTGACTGAATGAGAGGACTGGCTGAGCGGCCGACTGAGCTGAGTGAGCCAGTTGGTCTGCTTGGCTCGGCTCGGGAGAGTTCACATATGGGTACTGTTCATGAGAGAGTCATTTGTTGGGGGGGGGGGGGGGGGGTAGTGTGCAGTGTTCAGAGTACAGGAAAGTTATTTGAAATTCATACCAAGACAATTAATACGTCATGTAAAGAAACAATGCATAGTGAAAGAGGTGTTCACATATAAAAAGGTATCCTATATGGAAGCTTGTTCTGAATAATTGAAATGATAGTTGGAAAAACATTAATGTGCGCTCATGATAAGCCCCGTCCAAATGTTTGGTTTTCGTACTTTCACGTTATGGAAGTGGACCCTGATTCTTTATCTGATTTTCGATCGAAACAAAGTGTACCACATTTCATTATGTGTTGTTCAGACTAGAAATAAGTTAATAACTTATGGTATAGCTAAATATAATCATGTATAAAATAATTTTTGCTCGTCTGAATAGGGGGATTGAGAGAGAGAGAAACAGTCCATGGTGTTGTGATCAGCTGGATGTGTGGTTGAGCGTCTTTTTATAGGTTGTGCGGTGGGACGTCAGTCTCACTTTTGAAGTGGAAGATTGAGGGGTATGGGGGGGGGGGGGCGAGGATTATGTAATGAAGGGAAGGAGCAGCTAGGACAATGATTTTTACAAGGTGATTTGGATGAGAACAAGGAGATGTTAGATGTCTGGAAATTTAGAGATGGATGCATGTAGTAAGATAGATATGGATAGTTATATAGATCTAGACAAACAAATGAAAACAACTTTGAGGAAGAGAAAGTTTGGCATTTCTACATATCTACACAATTATCGTATAGATTTGAGCAAAGATATGTTCATTGTGTGGTTTGGCTTTTGGGAAGAAAAGGAAGGAAACAGGAAGAATTTATCGCTTCCTGTATACTGCTCTCCTATTTCTAAATTATAGGGTGCAGACGAATCTTGGGTGAAACTGATAAACTTATTATACATATTGTGTTCATATTTCAATTATATATAGATTCACCACACGCAAGTTTGTGATGAAGTTATTATGAATATAAACAAACATCACAATGTTTTTGTTTTTTTGCCTGATCCACTTAAATTTTAGCTATTATAAAACAAATATTTCTAAATGATGTTGTAATTAAGGATTATGGATAGCACCGTGTGGCATGTTTTCTATTTGTTTTGTATATTTAATTTCAACTGGGTATCTGAAATGTAGTTCCTTATATTAAAACTTCTTTCTAAAAGTTTCAATGAAAACAGTACGACATTCACTGTACTACACATTCATTTCCAAAGTGAGGTTGAAATGCCAAAAGTTGTTAAACATTCTGGAAGTAACTGTCATGATTTTCTTCTGAAAGCTGCACCGAGTCTGCAGATTAGAAATTTCATTGAAATTACATTTCAATATTATAACTATACTGTCTTAATAATAATAACTGGATACAGTTATTCCATAATTTCACTGTAGATCTTGGTTTGGCCGCATTTACTTTTTTTTTTTTTATTCTCCTGTGTATATATAAAAGTTATAAGAATAAGTGAACTATGCAGAGTATCTCATGTATGAGAAGATAATTATTGTGAATTTAGTGGTTTTAGCTCATGCTGTGTCTGCAGCATATACTTGTTTCATTTATATATGAGTCATAAGAATAGTATAAGTGAACTGAGAGTATATCTCATGTATCAGAAAATAATTATTGTCTGCTCAGTGGTTTACCTTCACCATGCTGTGTCTCAGCCACAATCAGTAGGAGAAATTGCCTTCAAGTTTCAGATGAAGTTGAGTCCTGGTCATGCCGTAGTATTGTGAAAGAAATCGTCTGGAAGCAATCAGGAAAGTTTGGTTATGTAGTGCATGATGCATTTTGCAAGTTTATGAAACTATCAAATCATCAAAATGATGAGAAATTGACCCGGTCTTGCTTGAAATTACTGGCATTGCACCCAAATATTAGTTGATTAAATTACAGTGTAGACATGCATGCACACATGGTTTGGTTTAGTCTTTTCATCTATTTTTCATCCCTAAGGTAATATGACAGCGTTTGGAGAAAAATCTTAAAAGAAGGAACATTTCTTCTCTAATATTCTTCCAAACTGGAGTTAAAGGAATGAGAAGCCCCCAAATTAATAATAATTAATAATAATAAAACGGTGCTCATAAAGCATTTACCACTGAAGTCTCTAAGCGCTATAACAAACAAAATACAATGACAAACAATTACATATTAAACAAAAAAATAAATAAATATATAAACCTACAAATTACAATACATATGAAATATACATCAATGTATAAGACAAGTTTTGAATTGGTTGACAGTTTTTGACATGCAAAGGTCGTTTGTTCCAAAGTTCAGCAGAAGCTTTGCAAAAAGAGCGATGACCATAAGAAAGAGTTGACACCGAAGTAGACACAAGGTTTAATTGTCATCTTCACCAGAATGTAACTATCTCTTTAAAGGTGCCCACATGGTATTTATTTGTCTCTTCTGATGATGGCTTCCAAGTCTCCATAACTTTCGCTTTCAATTTCTTCAAGATGAATCTCTCTTCCTGCCCATCTAATTGTGTTCATCTTCATCCAAATAAAATTGTGAATTTTTTTATTGGCCTTAAGAGTCACAATGTTGGTAGAAGAAGCCTCCAGAGGGACATACTATTAGACCATTCAATTTACGAGTCAGCTGTCTAGGTGACAATCCTTAACTGACACAAAGGAAACATGACAAGCAATATTTTGAGTAGGACAATTTAGAAATTTTATGAGAACTACTCTTTGTCTAGTTGAACAGTTTTATTGATTTTCTTGATCTCGGGAGAAATGAGAGTAAAAAATTAGGCCAAAAATTGGCCACATATTGTCTCATAACAATTGATCAGGAATTGGAAGTTATTTTGTTATAGTTCTACTTCTACAATGCCATGTGGGTCATTGAATTATTAGATTTTGGTGACTCCCTGAAAAATGTGCGTGAATCTTTTGCCCCTCCTAGTACCATTGTGTGTGTCTCCACTAGCCTCGGCAAGCAAAGAAGAGCTCAAGATATTTGACTGATTCTTGAAAAAATAAACAGAGTTTGAGATTTCTCTTCTCCATTTGTAGTTGAGCGATATCACTGCTCAAAGAATTAGCTTGAGCTACAGCTGTACTAGAGCATGATAGTCTAAGTGTTTCTTCTCTAGCAAATTAGCCATTAATTGACCAATGTTGTGATCCCATTGAAGGAAACTAGCAGCCTTTTCACACACGGTTAAAATTCTAGAGCTGATTAGTTTAAAGCTGTTTAATTTAACAGCTTTAAACAGCTTTAAAGTAAATTTTCCCTGTGTGAACGTCCTTTATTCGATGTTAGGACAGATACAAAGTCGCGATTCATACGCCCCTCAAAGCAGGCTGCAGATACGAAGTCCGTATCTAGAGAGCTTGACATTTTGTATTTGAACGGTTATACGTATTTAAACTGGTCTTTAAATGCTCAGTAGAGCCATTAAGCATTTACGAGCAGTGACAAAGCAGTGAATCTCGAACGACCGCACCAAAATTTTCTGTGCGTGAATGATGTTGTTGTATCTAAAGCTGATTGGTTTAAAGCTCTTTAAACTAATCAGCTTTAAAGAATTTTGCCCGTATGTGAAAAGGCTGTAGAAAGGACTAATAGCGCAGTTCACACAAGGGATATTATTGTATAAGCCCAAAGAAATGTATATGATACAGGTAACCAGAATATCATAAGGGTGACTCTGCATTATTTATAATGTCAAAGAACAGTTGCTCATTGCTTTATTTTATTAAAGAAAAAAGGGTTAGGGTTAGGGTTAATGCAATTGGGTTTCATTTGAGGTTTTGGGTTTGGGTAAGAACTTTGTTCCATGAATAAAGTTATGACTTTGGCTAGTGATTGCAAGGAGTTGTAACAACAAGTGTGCAAAGCTAGAGAGAAAGATAGATACCGGTATATAAATTTAAATGTAGATCGATCGATAGATATATAGGTATATAGATTTAAAGATAGATAGGTAGGTAGATAGATACATGTAGATAGATAAATAGATAGATAGATATACAACTGTAGGTAGATAGATAAACAGACAGACAGACAGACATAAAGAGATTGATAGATAGATAGATAGATAGATAGATAGATAGATAGATAGATAGGTATGTAGGTAGAAAGATCATTTAATTTTAAAATTTTTACAAGAAAAGTTTTAATGGAGGATATGATGAAATGTTTGTTAATTTATTTAGGCATTGGGTTGTTTAGGGGTCATGTGGTGGAAGTGTATGTGCATTTAGAACCTTAGACAGGTATTAAAAATAGAGATCATTTTCATTCATGTTTTTGTTTCTGGTTTACTCGATTTTACCTCACTGGATATGTGTATGACACTTTCAGTTCAGACATTATAGGCCTTTATATACCTCATTTTAAGATTCTTTACTAATCCTGTCTTCTGATTGGTTGAAAATGCAGTCATGTTCTTAACCATGCCCGCTAATTGAAATTCATAGTCATTTTTCCCGGCTTTACCGGTTTATATCCATTTTTCATAGCACTTTTTCCATGGCTGTGAAACGTGACGTCATTTTGCTGCGATCCCCATTTTGGTTTACGTGTTACCGTATAAGTTTCTTTTGTGCGATGACTGATGCACAATACCGTTAACGGTGTTTGAGTGCAATTCGATTTTGGTCGCTGCATTCAGGCGACGAATCTACCAATCCACGCAGCGCAGACGACCGATCGCCATTTTGTGTACTAGTCTCGATCGCAAAATACTGGGGTTTTTTGTTTCCAATTTTTTGTCAATAAAGAGGCAAAATGGAGGACACAGCTATGCCAAGATTTCAACTCATGGATGACATTCAGCTGCAAGACTTAATCGATTCTG